TTTATAAAAAACACAGCTGATATTATGTCATATAATTTCATTACTAATGGTGATTAAACTGCAATAAGCTACGGTTCGGTACCAATTTCGTCGTCAGCTCTGTTGCATAAGGACAAATGAAAATATTAAATTTCTTGGTAACAAGGATGTCATATAACCTCCTAGATGGTATTTTTAAAGATACATGAACATCAAAACTCATGAGATACGTTTTTATGACTGTTTGTTAAAAAATGTCATTCACGATCAATTAACAAAAAATATGGATTTTTTCCCTAATTTTTCAAAATAATTTCCCCTTCGTACATTGATTTATAATCTCGACGCGGTTTTGATCTCAATATCATAGTCCTTTTAAAGACCACTAACTCAAGTATCGTAATTTATAACTCCCGTGAAGACGCTAATTAATTTTTATCAGAGACATGTCTCTGTTGTTTTTAACAAGATTAGTAAATGCAACGACATCTATTGGAAGGAGTTAACGTTAATTATCTACTGTCCAATATAAACAGATTGGGTTATCTCGCTTGGAAATGTGACATATTCTTGCACATGCAATTCAAACTTATATCACGTCCTTTATCATATAAGGAACTTTCAATGGTATTTTTAAACACATTGTTATATGTTATCTAACATACTTTGCAAATACTTTTACTCGTTCTTTTTCACTTATCTAAATCACTTCTTTTACACCCTCCGAAACGTCTCACATATATTTTCCATTCGTTCAGATATTTGTAATCTTTAAAAGGAAATCTATAAAAAATAAAAGATTAATTTCACAAACAATGAAATCTGGATTAATTATGTGATCGTGGCTTTATTCAATATTTAATTGGCAAAGATCTTGACAAATACCGCCATATTTAGGCGTTGGCAGTATGATTTGATTAATATGACGGGTGTCTCTAGTGGAGCAAGATTTGTTTACCCTTCCATAGCACCTGAGATCGTCCGACCCGAATGGGGTTCTTGTTGTTCAGTCTTTAGTTTTCTGTAGTGTCTTGTTGATTTTGTTAGTCTTTTTGTCGTCTTTCATTTTTGTCTCGCCTTGACGGAGTCAAAAAGAGAGACATAGGTATGCTGTTTCCGGCGTCGGCGGCGTCAACAATGTATTAGTTTGTGATTAGGTCTAGTTCATGGTGAACCACTAGTGGTAGGTCAATGATATTTGGTATGCAGTTGTATTAGCATTGGCACATCTCATTACCATGGAGATTATTTGGCCCCGCCCCCTCAGTCAAGGTCTATTGACTTTGAAACTTTTCATAGTTTACATGTATTAGTTTGTGATTAGGTCAATTTATGGGGAACCACTAGTGGTAGGTCAATGATATTTGGTATGCAGTTGTATAAGCATTGGCATATCTCATTTTCATGGAGATTATTTGGCTCCGCCCCCTTAGTCATGGTCTATAGACTTTGAAAATTTTGCTAAGTTAACATGTATTAGTTTGTGATTAGGTCAGTTCAAGGGGAACCATTAGTGGTAGGCCAATGTTAATTCGTGTTCAGTTGTATAAGCATTAGCACATCTCATTTCCATGGAGAATATTTGGCCCCGCCCCCTCAGTCATGGTCTATTGACTTTGAAACTTTTGCTTAGTTTACATGTATTAGTTTGTGATTAGATCAGTTTAAGATACACTGCTTGTATTGGCATTTGCAAGTATCGTTTCCATGGAGATTATATAGCCCCACCCCTGATCATGGTTCATTGACTTTGAAACTTTTACATAGTTTACAAGTTAATGTTTGTGTTTAGGTTTGTTTATAGGGAACGACTTATAATAAGTCAATGGTATTTGGTATGCAGTTGTATTAGCATTGGCACATCTCATTCCATGGAGATTGTTTAGCCATGTACCTTCAGTCATGGTTCATCGACTTTGAATATTTGCATAACTTACATGTTAAAGTATTGCTATTTTAATTTCAACATTTGCATTATCAAAATTACAAAAAGGCGAGACATATCTCTGTGTTAACAGTTTATTTGAAATGGCGTCAGTGTCAGTTGTAACCGTAAGTTTGAAATTTTAGACTTGCCATGAGCAAAATGACGGACGGCGGCCCGCTTGGTATACAAAATTAAAGTAATGAACATTGTAATAAATTTAACAGCGACAATCATGGATCTGCAATCAGCACCAGATTCGCCATTGCTTTTCATGTGCTGATTGTTATTATTTGTTCTTTTACGTACTTAGTCCATCGGTCAAAAATTTGAAAGGGTTTACCATCTAAAACACTAGTTTAACATGTTTAACCCAACCAAATATTCATGTGCCTACCGCAAGTCTAAAACTGCTTTATAACGAAGTTGGTTTATAATACAAACATAATTTATTATGTAAATACAATTTAATGAATGATTCAAAGGTTCAAATGTTCAATTGTTCGAACATGTCGAAAGTTCTTAATTTGTCACACGGACACGCAATCGTATAGTGGTATAATTTTTCGATCCTGACTAGAATGAATTCTGATGGTGAATGAATTCCTGCCTACCCTACGAGGGGATGGGGGGGGGGTAAACCTGGTGGAATCTGCTCTGTCTCTCTCTTTCCTAGTAATTATAGCGGTATGCGACAAGGTTCATGATTAAATGTCTACAGGATACATGTACTATCTTATGTTTTAGGTTCCGTGTTGCGGACAAGGTTATTATTTGCCGACAGGATACATGTATCAGTTACACGTACTGGAATGATATTCACTTCAATTTGTATATGGTCACTTCTGTAATTGATGTACTTAGGTGAGGTTTTGGAATAAGTGTCAAATGTTCGGACTCCTTGGTGTTTTTCCATACGATACAAGGTAGAATATTTTTCTCCACAACACCTATTTATCTTTTAACATAAGACTTAATAGCCAATAAAAGGTCATTTGTCAAAATTTAAGCAGATTCTTGATTTTCTTTCTTTTGATTTGAGACCAAAATAATACCAATGCAAATATAAGGTAAAAGTCCGAGTCAGCCTTTTCCCGCCATATTTTATAAATAAAAAATCTCGAAAAGGAGCTTCATGACCTATTAATTTTTTTTAGCTTATTTTGATACTTAGTTTATACTCTTCCAGTTTAAAGTATCAATTTTGAATTCTTGATTTATTTAATTTTACCTTAGATCACCTAAGTACATCCTTAACGATAAATTTTCCAACGGTTATTTTATAACGATTGTCAAAATAATTGTAACACCATCTGTATAGTCTGTTAATGCAATACACATTTGTCGTTATGCAATTAAGAAAAGTTATGATCCGCATTGTGTTACGGTAAACGGACAGAAAGTCCAAGGACAAAAAGTCGCAGGACATAAAGTCACAAATTTGATAGGACAAAAAGTCACAGGACATTAACTTGAAGTCACAAATAATTTGTTTAAAATTGTTAGAATATATAAGAGAAAGCTCTTAAAATAATTTCTTTTCATATATTCATTTTACAGTAAAGGAAATCGTTCATCAAGGAAATTTTATCAAATTTTAAACATTCAAAGGATATATTTCTTGACACTATGAAGCCCTATAAGTACCAAGACACTTTGTCAATTTTTTTTTCTTAACAATTATACGATCGTTATTGGTTTTTTTTCAGAATAAATTTTGTTTACAAAGTAGCTTTATATAATAAATCAATAAAAATACAAAAATAATCTCAAAACTGAATTGTGACTTTTTCATGTTTTTGTCCTGTGACTTTTTGTCCTACATTCTGTGTTACACATGTTCATATTTACCGGTCACTGATGGTTTAAAAAAAATTGCACATTAAAAAGGATCTTTTTATTAAAAGAGGAGATGGGGTCCCGCGTGTTTTCACACCGGCCTGTAATAACTGTTGTAGCTGTTTATTTAGTTTTATAGTTGGGGTTTAATTTATTTGAAATCTGAACATTGCCAACCGTAAAATTTAAACCCACAATTTTGTGAAAGTCGAAATTCCTTCATTTAAATTGCCACGGTTTGAAATCTGTTGTCGCTTCTCCAAAATTTTGTGACCCATCAATTTAAAAGTCTAAATGCACAGTTTTACCTTAAATCGAAAAATTTGACAAAAAAAAAGGCGTGACACAATAAGTAAAGTGACATACAGATATAGCACTCGACATGAATAATATTTTACAGTTACAGACATTAAAATGATTTACAGTTATGAGCCCTAAAAACTATAAAATAAAAGATAAAATGATGGAAATTTTCATTAATTTAATATTTGACTAACCTGTAAAATTATTAAATGGACTAGATTTTCACTGCAGTCTCATACCTTAGGACGATCCACAAAAAATAATGAAACTTATTTCCAGTGAGGTTGGGTCCTTTTAACATGTTTATGATGTTAATGTGACAGAGTGTTTTTAAATGAAGCATATTGCATTGGAAAGAGTTACAGAAAAAAGGGAAAATAAGCGTTGAACTCGCTACCAGAAAATTATTCGTTAAAAGTTGCTTAAAGAAATATATTTCAAAGTACAAGTAAAAAAAAAAATTTGACGTACAAATTAAAATCCATCTCTAATAGTGAATGAATTTATTTTTTTCAATGATTAATTTTATTGAGGCTTTGAGCCTTTATCTGTGATAATTTCAAATAATGTTCGTGTCAAGCTTAATTCATTGTGTGAACTGGTATATATAATCACTTCTTATTGTCATGTGAAACAAGAGGTAAACATATACAAAACAGTGGCGGATCCAGAACTTTTTGTAAGAGGGGGGCCCGCTGACTGACCTATGGGGGGGCCCAGCTCCAGTCACGCTTCAGTGATTCCCTATATAATCAACCAAATTTTTACAACGAAAGGGGGGGGGGGTGGAGCCCCCAGGCCCCCCTGGATCCGCCTATGCAAAATACAATCACATACAATCATAAAAAGAAATAACCTTCTCTTTATGTTCCTCCTCTAGCAGGAGCTTCGCAATTGTTGTCCGTTCTTGAACAATACTTTAATTCGGTATTCAGTTATTTTCTTCAGAGTTATCGTTCTTACAAAACAACACACGTGAAAACGACCGAAAAGAAAAATACACGTTATTTGTGTACTGTAAGAGTTAATTTTCAGTAAAAAACATGACAACTGAAGAAGAACAAGTAGAGGAGCCTGATCAAGAGGATGACAGTAAAAAGGACAAATCAAAGAAACATGATTCAGGGGCGGCAGATTTAGAAAAAGTTACTGATTATGTCGAAGAAACGGAAATCTCGGCACAAAGTATTGGCGATGTAAGTGGTGCATAATTTTCTAAAACAAAATGCAGAATCGAAGTTCAAAACTGAAATAGTATTTTATTGTGACGAGTTTGATTTTTCAAGTCTGATATGAATGAACCTGGCCTTTGATCTTGTTGATCATGACACTGTTCAGGAACATATATATTGACGTTAGATAAATACTGTTCCCAGCACTGTTCATTTGTCAGAATAATTTACAAAACACTTAAGATAAAAATAGGTACTGGCTACGATTACCCACAAAAGGTAACAATAACAAATAATTACTAATTGAGACTAATTTACGAAATGTATATCCGGACAGGACCCAAATTATTTCATAGGGAAATGGCAGGTAACAATAAGATATTTTTTTTATTGTTACCTGCAGTTATCATGACTAATAATACACCTTATCGCTATTTTTCCGCCATTACTGGATATCGTAAAGGTACCCGTTAAATTTTGACATCACAATAGAAAATGTCTGACGTTATGAAGGAAAAGTGATTGTTGTAAGACGTCAAAAGCATACCTGCCAACTGTTGCTATTTGCGGGGGATTTCCCCCATTGACATGATTGAGGCTTCCAACTGGAAATTTTGAAAGAGCAATTTTGTCCACAGTTTAAATCAATAGAATCAATTTAACCATGCATGGGTATAGGATTGTAAAAGTATGAAGAAGCAAATAAACAACATTAAAATAAATTTGAAGGCCCCTTTAGTTTAAAGGTTTTGTAGGACTATTGAGAGCCAACTTGCACATAAAACCCCCATGGGCATTTTGAAATGTTGGCAGGTATGCAAAAGTTAAAGTGTCTAAGATTCCTGGGTAAAGTGTCACAGATTCCCAAATAGTGATAAGGTATATTAGGTATAATCTAAACCTGAATGTTTAAAATTTAGGTAAAACTACAAAATCACAGAATTTCTAATTTGCTACTTAAATGAGTGATTTAAAATTCCCTTATTTCAGTAATTCCCCTGACTTGTTATACACCTTATCGCTATTTATTCCAATCGGGATATATAGCAAGGCTTCCAAAACGGTCATATTTGCCGGACAAATGTAAATTTATTGGACATTGTCTGACTTGGCAAAACATGAAACGGACATCCTACATGGGTTTACCATATCAACGTTCATGTGAATCAGAAAAATCAACCATTTTGACTTGACCTTGTGCCTTCAACAGCCACACTTTTCCGGTCATAAAAGTGACAGTACTCTATAAACAAGCCCTACTATAATCCCCTCTCATTACAATCAAGGTTAATTAAGTTTCTAACAGGAATGATTAACCTGTGATCACCTGTGGGGGTTAAAAAATCCACTAGCCCGACGCCCGGGACTAGACTTTTACACTTCGGGCAATTAAAACTTGTTACCGAATATGCCCGACGAACTAGTAACAAACAATTCTTGGCATTTCCAAAATAGTAAGTGGAAAATCCCCTCATCACTATTCTATCTTAGCCAATCAGATTCAATTACGTACGTCATCCTGGATTCCAATATTTGAACCGATTTTGTACATGTTTTAAAAATAGAACAACTAACTCTGGGTGGACCGGTATCATGTATTGATCGCAATTCACGTACTTTCAATATCAATTTCTCAATACAGGGGGTATTGTACATTGCTTATGCCGAGATTTTCAATTAATGGTACTTGGATGTATGATGTAATGATCGATATTGACCTGTCTTGTCGGACAGCTGTTAATTTGAGCTTGAAACCATGCACAAATTATTTCTAAACATTTTAGTACGGCCACCACAGGAACTTTGTCAGTTTCAAAACGAAAAACGGTAGATGAAGGGGGTAATGAGGCTGAAAATTTATCCCAAAAAATGCCAAATATGACCAGGAAAAGCGGAAAAAAACATTTATAGTGTCATGGACAGAAAGATTCCCCATGGGCAAGGTCGACTGTTACTGATGATAAACAAGAGATGATGTTTTGTGAATATTGCTGTTATTTTCCCGATCACGCTGATAAAAAGTCTGCTTTGTATGTGGGAACAACAAATATACGATTTGAACCACTGGTTTAACATGACAATATCAATGAACATGTTTTCTGTGCCCGAAAATATTTAACAACCCATAGTACAAGGGATATCCAAAAAGATGTCTAGAGATCCTTGTTATAATTAATAAAACAAAAATTTATTTGATTTATTTTATCAAATACTGTGTATAATGCCGCATTCAAAACAAGGGATACCCACTCCAAAATTGAAAGGTATACTCGGGCTAGCAGGTCAGTTTTGATGGGCTAGCAGCTCTTTCAACAGGGCTAGTAAAATCCTGCTACCAATAAGTCCTGGGCTAGTGAGCTGTAACAAATTTTTTTAACCCCTGTAAACTATTTGTACCGGACATCAATCGTTCTTTTTGGAAGTTATTTTTATACGACCGCAAAAAAATTTTGTGGTCGTATATTGGTATGATGTTGGCGTCGTCGTCGTCGTCGTCGTCGTCCGGCGTCGTCGTCGTCCGAATACATATTGGTTTTCGCACTCTAACTTTAGTTTAAGTGAATGGATCTTTTTGAAATTTGACCATAAGGTTAAATACCACAAAAGGAAGGTTGGGATTGATTTTGGGGGTTATGGTACCAACAGTTAAGGAATTAGGGGCCAAAAAGGGGCCAAAAATGAGCATTTTCTAGTTTCCAGACAATAACTGTGGAACGGTGTATGGATCTCTCTGAAATTATACTACAAGTTTCCATACCACAAAGGGATGGTTAGGATTTGCTTTGGGGGGTTATGGCTCAAACCGTTTAGGAATTAGGGGCAAAAAAGGGGGAAAAACAAGGTTGTCCTGGTTAATGGACAAATACTTTAGTACAAAACATAATTTAAAGCAGTGTAAGGGAGATAAATCAAATACATCATTGAAATTATCTCCCTTACACTGCTTTTAAATTATGTATAAAGTAATGGTTAATGAACAATAAAGATAATCTTAAACAGTGTAAGGGAGGTAATCCAAATACAATGTTTTGGTTACTTCCCTTACACTGCTTTTAAATTATGTTTAAAGAAATGCATATTTATAAAGGAAGACCAGTAAAAATATCTGCAAATGTTTTCATCTTTTTTTTTTACAAAAAAATCCATATGGAAGATTTGACACTATATTTTTATTAATTCTATTATAAAATAGATTAAGTTAGCACTATGGTAAATTTAAATGGGTAATTATGGTTGCCAACTCCATTGGAAATTTGAATTGAGATTATGACCATATCTTGAGGGAAAGAATTTTTTTGGGGGAAAAAGGGGGGGGGGGGGGGGAATAAAAAGAAATTGTGGGGGGCCAATTTTTTCTCATTTCAGATTTCAGAAATTAAAAAGAATTATTCTTCAAATATTATTTTTTTTTCAAATTTCAAATATTGAAAAATTTCAAGAAGTAATCTTTAATTGCACAGTATGGCACATTAGATTTGTAAAATCTTTGATCACATTTATTTATTTGTTATGCCGAATCTAACAGTGTATTTAGATTTTTAATTTTGGGTCCAGTTTTCAAATTGGTCTACATTAATGTCCAAAGGGTCCAAAATTAAACTTTGTTTGATTTTAGCAAAAATTGAATATATGAGGTTCTTTGATATGCTGAATCTAAACATGTATTTAGATTTTTGATTTTTGGCCCAGTTTTCAAGTTGGTCCAAATTGGGGTCCAAAATTAAACTTTGTTTGATTTCAACAAAAATTGAATATATGGGGTTCTTTGATATGCTGAATCTAACCATGTATTTAGATTTTTTATTTGTGGACCCAGTTATCTAATTGGTTCATATTGAGGTCAAAAGGGTCCAAAATTAAACTTTGTTTGATTTCATCTAAAATTGAATTATTGGGGTTCTTTGATATTCCAAATCTAACCGTGTATTTAGGTTTTTAATTTTGGGTCCTGTTTTTTAAATTGGTCTACATTGAGGTCCAAAGGGTCCAAAATTAAACTTAGTTTGATTTTAACAAAAATTGAATTCTTGGGGTTCTTTGATTTGCTGAATCTAAACATGTGTTTAGATTTTTGATTATGGGCCCAGTTTTCAAGTTGGTCCAAGATAGGGTCCAGTATTTAAACTTTGTTTGATTTCAACAAAAATTGAATATATGGGGTTCTTTGATATGCTGAATCTAGATTTTTGATTATGGGCCCAGTTTTCAAGTTGGTCCAAATTGGGGTCCAAAATTAAACTTTGTTTGATTTCAACAAAAATTGAATATATGAGGTTCTTTGATATGCTGAATCTAACCATGTATTTAGATTTTTTATTTGTAGGCCCCGCTATCAAATTGGTTCATATTGAGGTCAAAAGGGTCCAAAATTAAACTTTGTTTGATTTCATCGAAAATTGAATTATTGGGGTTCTTTGATATTCCAAATCTAACCGTGTTTTTAGATTTTTAATTTGGGTCCCGTTTTTTAAATTGGTCTTCATTGAGGTCCAAAGGGTCCAAAATTAAACTTAGTTTGATTTTAACAAAAATTGAATTCTTGGGGTTCTTTGATATGCTGAATCTAAACATGTGTTTAGATTTTTGATTATGGGCCCAGTTTTCAAGTTGGTCCAAGTTGGGGTCCAAAATTAAACTTTGTTTGATTTTAACAAAAATTGAATATATGGGGTTCTTTGATATGCTGAATCTAACCATGCATTTAGAATTTTTATTTGTGGGCCCCCTATCAAATTTGTTCATATTGAGGTCAAAAGGGTCCAAAATTAAACTTTGTTTGATTTCATCAAAAATTGAATTATTGGGGTTCTTTGATATTCCAAATCTAACCGTGTATTTAGATTTTTAATTTTAAGTCCCATTTTTTAAATTGGTCTACATTAAGGTCCAAAGGGTCCAAAATTAAACTTAGTTTGATTTTAGCAAAAATTGAATTCTTGGGGTTCTTTGATTTGCTGAATCTAAACATGTGTTTAGATTTTTGATTATGGGCCCAGTTTTCAAGTTTGTCCAAGTTGGGGTCCAAAATTAAACTTTGTTTGATTTTAACAAAAATTGAATATATGGGGTTCTTTGATATGCTGAATCTAACCATGTATTTAGATTTTGGACATTGGACCATAATAGGTAAATTAAAAAAATTCAAGTTCTTAGACCACATTCTTTCTGTGTCAGAAACCTATGCTGTGTCAAATATTTAATAACAATCCAAATTCAGAGCTGTATCAAGCTTGAATGTTGTGTCCATACTTGCCCCAACTGTTCAGGGTTCGACCTCTGCGGTCGTATCAAGCTGCGCCCCAGCGAAGCATTTTATTTTATTTAGATTAAAAACTTTCCTGGTTTAAATCTAACTACATTTTAGCAAAACAGATTGAGACTATCAGAAAAACGTATTTAAAACAATAAGATCCATTCATAATTTACAAGCAACAGGCAGGGGTTCAAATTAACATTTGGTACTGGAAGGTCCAGGACCTTTGACACTCCAAACTGAAAGGTCCACAACCTAAATCCCAGGTCCTACTTTATTTGAAATTTTTCATAACTCAGTAAGATACAAAATTAATATGTTTTTGGTCTTAGGTTAGCTTGTTTAATTATATTTGAACTGCATGCAATATTTTGTTCAGTTTACAAATTTATTGCCAGGCAACCATATAAATGTAGCACTAAACTGTCAGTGTCACTGTGGTATAACATGTATAATAATAAACTTGTCTTACAAGTATATTATGAACTCAAATAATCTTTTTTTTTTGGTATTGGGGAGGGTGTCACTGTGAGTGGGTGTGTTGTCTCAATTATTGGTAATTATACCATTATCTCAGGGCTTACACTACTTCAGATCATAGGGAGAAGTGACTTCTATAAAGGGCTATATGTATCTTTTTTTATACTGTTCAAGTCATAACCGAGTATACAATTAAAGTAACAGTTCAAATTCATAGCTGTCAGGGGCGTTTCTATGATATTATAAAGAGGGGGCGTAGAATCAAATATTTTTGTACCTTTTTTTGCTAAAAAACATAAAATAATTGTGAAGTGCACTAATGTAACAAGATTAGGGGGGGGGGGGGGGTGCGTACGCCCATTGCGCCCTCACCTGGACCCGCCCCTGGCTGTGTAAGTTCATCATATGTTACACAATTATATTAGTTCCTCTCTTGTCAGAAACTACTAACTAAATATCTAGCACTAATAAAGAAAGAACTTTGTTTACATCAAAAATGAAAATAAAGCGTGAAATGCTTAATTTTCGCTTTGGGGTCAATATTCTTCTGTCAGATGTGCCATTTATGGGTCCGTAGTCATTATCCTTAGAATCCGGATTTCATTCATAGCTGGTCCTTTCCCGAATACGACCAGTAGTTTGTACAAATATTTCAATGACGGACGAGAAAATTTACAAAATTAAACGATGTCTGAAACGCATTTTGGAAGGAATATGACATATTTAATGCACTGAATGAATTACAAATTTACTTAAGGCAACTTTCATCACTTCTAATGGGTTAACAAACTTATTTTGCCGACATTTAAAATGGTTTGAAGTACGCTCTCGAGGGGTATACCATGTCAATAGTAATATGGCTTTGAAATGACGATACTGATTGTTAAAAGGGTTGGCAAAGTTAATTTTTATTTTCTTTCAAATCGAAGGTCCGTCGGGCGTAGCTAGTAACAAAAATGAAAGTCCGATTGCAATAGTGGAAGGTCACGGACCTCGGACCACCGCTAATTTGAACCCCTGACAGGTAAACTATTTTGTAACGAATATTGAGCGTCTGTCTTTATTTAAAAGTTACTTTTTTTTTTAAAGGACAAGGTTCATTTTAGGCCAAATATGGCCTTGAATGTCAACTTTATCATAAAGTTTTCAAATGGCCATAATTTGGTTTCTAAATGAATCTATTTCAAACGCCTTACTTCTTTCTTAAAATAAATCTCTTCATAAGCATATAAGAGTACATTCTTAACTACAAAATCAGCATATTTTGGATATATTGTCAAAATACGATGATTTTGTGTATTTTTTGGACCTAAAAGCTCAAGGAAACCCTTGGTCGCAACCTACGATCCAAAATGTTCTGTAACCAAAAGTTGCCAATGATGAAATTGAATCACTAGACACAAAAACTTTCTAGATCATAGGTGCCGGCCAAAGTAAATTATCCTAAATACTGTTAAGAATTATTGAAAATTTGACCAAAATTGACGTTACAACACAAATAATGCATACTTAAGGAGTGAATACTTCTCCATTTTTAATGTGATGTGCCAAAATGAAGTTATTTTGTATTAATAGTAATATCACAACTGTTTCGATGTGAAAGTTGTAGTATTTTGGCCTGATCATCAAAATCTTAGGGCCAATTTTGACCATTCAAGAACTTACTCCTTTCAGCGGTTTGCATCTAATCAATTTATTCAAAAAGTTAATAATAAAGGTTTTAAGCGAAAAATCGTCAGAATGTATTATGCATAAAAACTTTTCAAAGAGACATGTTTAAACCATCATAAACACTTCAAACAAAGCATTTATGATTTTATTTTGTGTTTTAAAAAAGTTGATCATAATCTACAATGTATCAAAGTTTCAAAATGTTCGCTTTCTAAACTTTTTCTTCCCTCAGCTCATTACTGATGACCTTTGTTTTTACGACGCTTGACCCAAACAGGAAGTTGTCTACGTTACTGTTTTTCCTGGATTGGACTCAAAAGCAATAAGGTGTATTGTAACCTGCAAAATTTAACTTTTACCTATTGGAAAAATACTTTTTGATCCAATTGAGTTATATATATATATACTTTATTCTAACCCGAATAATTCAGTCGTTTTATTCCACTGATCTACGATGGCTACATTAACGCCTGAAGGCCTTGTTAATAAAAAATCGTCAAATAATCATTCGGAATTAGCTCGGGATTTACCTATTTCGATAACATTGAGCTATTAGCTGATTGGCTCTCTCTCACAGAGAGCACCTATCAAAATCCTGGATTCGTGATTCGTTTTTATTGTATAAAGAATTCAGGCCCTCGCGAGTGGGAGAGTCGATCACAGGGAGGGACTGAATTATTCGGGTTAACTTTATTCTGATAAACAACTGTAGATACAAAGGTACACAGAAGAACATAGACATTTTGACATTTAGTTCAGTTTGAAGATATTGTGTTGAATTTGTAACCCTAATGGAACAAGATTGTAATGAACACATATTTGAAATTTTTAATTTCAGGCTATGAACAAATTGACAGAGAAAAAGACCAAAGAAAGAGCAGAATTTATTGCAAGAGAAAAAGAATTGTCAAAGATAAAAATAAGTAAAGAGGATGTGGATCTTATTGTAAGTATAATATTAAGTTAATAGTCCATTTGCCAATTACTGATTTGATTCTGTTATACACACTTTAAAGGCAGATTGTTTCGCTTTGCCAACTGTATACTGGTTCTATCCGGGGGAAAAATGGACATGCCAATCATTATATGTTGAAAGTGATATACATGATATAACCATTTTAATCAATTTTCAACAAAAAATAACTATTGATATCAAAAGTTTAGAGCTAACAAAAGATTAAATGAAATGAAAATATTTGAAAACTAAGATAACACACATAAGGTGCAGATAAATTTGGTATTTCTGCTAGCTCTTCATTGTTAATGAAAATGTATGTCCCTCCGAAGGCCAGCAACTAAAAAAATTGATGTCTAATTACAGAATTGGCAAATAGACTATGTTCAGTGTGAGCCAAGGCTCTGTTGAAGGCCGTACTTTGACCTATAATTGTTTACTTTTACAAATTGTGATTCGGATGGAGAGTTGTCTCATTGGCACTCATACCACATCTTTTTATATCTATGCCTGTAGTTCAGTGGTTGTCGTTGGTTCATGTCTGTCATATTTGTTTTTCGTACATGGTTTTGTTATAAATTAGGCCGTTAGTTTTCTCAATTGAATTGTTTCATATTTTTCATGTCGAGGCCTTTTATAGCTAACTATATGGTATGTTTTTTTTCATTGTTCAAGGCCGTACGGTTGCCTATAATTGCTTACATCCACTTTATTTGAACTCTGGTGGATAGTTGTCTCATTGGCATGATTGGCAATCATACCACATCTCCTTATTTTTATAATATGAAAGGTGCATAATTATTAGATTTATCCTGCAATCAACCCTTCTACTTTACAAACATGACAAATAGAGGTTGACAGATAACATGAAGCGATAAACGTATAGTATAAGTTTAAGTCTCCTGGTATCCTGCTTTTGTTGTGAGTGTCTGGTTATATTCAAATTACTGTTTTAGTCATAGTTCAATTTGGTGTCTTCATTGCGGTCCGCAACTAAGTCATGTTGATTTCATTAAAAAATGAATTGAACGGTTAAGAAGTAAACAAAACAATATGTTCTGACGTTTAAGTGCAAATGTTAAATTGCAGGATAAAAACAATATTCGTATATTCAAAATATAAAATGTATTTGGCTCTGCGTGCCTTGCTTTTCTCTCTGTTAGTAAAGTAGAACAAATAAATTTTACATTTTCCTACATTGGATAAATATTGTCTGATAGTCAGTTAGATGATACATGTATGTAAGGAACACAGTTTAACAGAAGCCAGATACATGTACAGTGTAGCATATTAGTTAGACTTAATAAAAATGATTTGTTCAGGGTAACCTTGCCATATCTATATTTTATACTTTAATACACTAGCTGTTTGATTGACAGTCCTGAACAGGCAATGTTAAAGTGAAAACCTTGCACCAGTATCAATGAATATATATCCTATGTCAAATTAAATTTTAAAAACTTACCTTTGAACAATTTTTTCTCGGCCTTAATAAAAAAAGTCCTTCTAGGTTATTATGAAAAGAAGACTACATACAAGTATTTAATTTTCCATTTTCCATTTTAATTGATTTATCATTTATTATTTATCAATTTTTACTATAACTTGAGTTCTGAAGGACTGGCAGTTCTTCATTTCTGAATCTAAAGAACTATGGGTAATTTAATTGTTTTCAACCGAAATGTAAATAACATCACATCATTGGTTGAAAATGTTATGGACATTTTAAACCAATCAACAGTCAAGAGTTCAGACATAAATAATTTTGCTTTTGACTCATAGAGGTCTAAATGTTTATGTTTCATGTGTTGTCTCTTTTTCTTTTAATAGAGGTCTAAATTTTTATGTTTCATGTGTTGTCTCCCTTTCTTTTTTTAGAGGTCTTAATATTTATGTTTAATGTGTTTTCTCTCTTTCTTTTAATAGGGATCTAAATGTTTATGTTTCATAGGTTGTCTCCCTTTCTTTAAAAATTAAATAGGACTTCAACAAATTTAAATCAATTAATGTTAGGCAAAAATATCTGACATGAATCAAAGTATTGTGATTATTGACTTTATAGAGAACTACAAGTCAATATGTTATTAAAATTGGCTAACTTCAAGACCAATGAACAAATATATCCAAGCATCAACATGAAATTGAGACGACATTGTAAGGCAATGGTTTGTTTTATGAAGAAAAATATGAATGATTGTCTAAAAATGGAGATAATGTTTATTTACTTTCTAACACAACCGTTAAATATGTTAATTCCACTAAAACTGAAACATAATTTACACTGGAGGAACACATGTTCAATCAGATCATTACTTGGAGATAGTGCAGGTCCTTGTAAATTTTAAGAAAAGTTTTTATTGTCATGAGGTGAGGAAATTTGGCCACAAAGTAAAATAAAGTGTTTTCATCCTGAAGTGTTTTCATCCTGTCTTGTTAAGCATAAATTGACTTTGAATTCTGTAATTTTCTGACTTAAACATGCAAGTCCAAAAAAAGTGAACACATTTTCATCATAATACATAAATTGACTTAGAACTTTAAGTCAGAAACCAAAAAAAAAACTTGTTTACTGTGAAAGTGCTTTTATTTGTCGGTACCAGTTTTCGTGGTTTGAGCAAAAGTTACATGTTTGTGGGTTCTTAAATTCATGGATTTTGGTTTTCTGAAGAAGCAAAGAAGACATTGCAGCAAAATAAGGTGTTCACTTTTACTAAGTTACTTGTTCGTCAACATTCATTAAATTTTTAATAGAATAATTGCTTTTGGATTTAAGCTTGTATGATTAAAAATTGTCTTGATTGAAGGAAATTGCTACATGTAAGTAAACAATTTTAATTGTTGAACACCTGAACTCAGAAGTGATGACACTAATTAACCTGAGAGCAATAGATTAACAATCATCAAAGGTCAAAATGAAGGTGTTTTTTGGGCCACAAAAATGTCACTTAAAGAAAACAGTTACATAGCAAAATGCTGCAAATGTACTTTAAATTGTAGAATTTAATTCTATTCAAATAAAAGAGCAAGCCCGATATGACTTTTTTTTGTATAAGAATTATGAGGAGAGAAAATGAACACTTTATCATCCGGCATATCACCACGGGAAATCTGTCAGACTCTCATCGATCAAAAAATATTATTTTTATGAAAACTAAAAGGTTAAAGATCGTAAAGTTTAGAATTTTTTTAAGGATTTTTAAAATCTTGTCTGAAGTTGTTTATATTGTTCATAGTGTATTTGCTTATATTCAATGTTCTCGAAAATTGGAACCCCACAAATAAAAGTACTTTCACAGTATGTCTGAGTTCTTACTGATCAAAACTTTTTGTTGTAAGCTTTTGAAAAAGTTACCAAGAAATCATTAGATTCTGAAACAGTGATCTGGACAGCAGCCACTTCTGTTTTAAATGAATTTCATCCTGAATATTGTCAACATATGCATGATATGCCACTGCCATTAGGTAAATAACAATCAACCAACCTTATGAAAGGGGAGACAATTTCCCATTAGTTTTCTGTATAAACTGAGTATTTAAGGGGATAAAAAAATGTGTAAAAATTCAAAACTGGCACCTACACCATGAATACTGTAGAATTACATAAAAGCATAAAGCATGTATAGTAATAAAAAAATAGGTTGATAATTGTGTCAGAAAGGGCTTTCTCTTATGATTGTGGCCTGTTAACTATTTCTTGCTTCAATAGATACTTTCATATGACACTGCACAGAGTGTGATACAAAAAAAAATATACCAAAATTGTGTTAATTTGATTGGTTTATCCAGCATCATGAGACAACATTACAACATTTCCATTAGCTATTGGTTAGGTCATTAGGGATGATTCCAGCTGTTTTCAAATGGGTCCCTTGACCATCAAATTGGAATTTTCATCCCAATTGGGAATTTTTTTATGCATAAAATCTTTGAGGAAATAACATTATTTTCCTGTAAAAATGGAAAATGTATTTAGTTTTACCTGTACACTGTTGTACAAATTTGTGACATTTGGAATAATCCTGGACCGGCTATTGATTTCGATATATATATATATATATATATATATATATATATAAAGTGCCTAGAAAATCAACCTAACAATGTTAGAGTAGATTTGATTCTTTACTTCCTCCCCAAGCGGGGCTGGAACCTGTACTTTTCACTTCATACTTCTAAGGCAACACCGCCTAGCATTGCGCAGACGCCTTATCCCCTCCTCTAACTATAGCTGATCAAAAATCAGCTTTCAATTCGGGAGGTGTTACCTTCTCGTAGGAATTAAACAAGGACATCTAGACGCAATACACAAAGTATTTTAAGTGTACAGAAATGATCATCTACTCATCTCTTTAGTATAATTACAGGATGCTGTTCTATTTTTAGAAGCATACAATCACTGTAAATTTATATATATGTATGTCTGCCTATGTGTAGTGACAACTGTAAATTATACCTTGTCCATCGGATTTCTTATGATTAAGAAATGCCAGGCTTTAGAATATTTATAAAGTGCCTAGAAAATCAACCTAACAATGTTAGAGTAGATTTGATTCTTTACTTCCTCCCCAAGCGGGGCTGGAACCTGTACTTTTCACTTCATACTTCTACGGCAACACCGCCTAGCATTGCGCAGACACCTTATCCCCTCCTCTAACTATAGCTGATAAAAAATCAGCTTTCGTTTCGGGAGGTGTTACCTTCTCGTAGGAATTAAACAAGGACATCTAGACGCAATACACAAAGTATTTTAAGTGTACAGAAATGATCATTTCTGTACACTTAAATATAAATTATATATATATATAAACAAGTCTAAATTGAAAACAACGTTCAAACCTATGATTGCGTTGGATAAAAACCGCAATTTTTATACGTGTGCATGCAAAACTATTTTCTTGATAGAAGGGTCTAAATACAGCACAAACAACATTTTCCAAAAGACAAAAAAGGGAAAAAGTATATTTAAACAAAACGCATTTGACTAACAGGTCGAACAACAGATGTTCTTAAACCCTGCTGACTGCCATTGGCGATTGCCAAATAAACGGATCACAAGATGTTACAAAATGGATCTTTTAAAATTATTAATTTAATACCAAACAGAAAACAATAAACTTGCAGAAAAGATGGTATACCGCAAACAAAAGGTGCAAAAATTAGTACACCATACCCGGATTTCGACAATTAATGTCTCTTCAGTGATGTTATATATATATGATTGCCAGTTCGCTTTACATTTAGTGGATTGAGACCAGGGAAGTTGTTACATGAAAATCATTGCACATGATGCATTATCTTTTGTAGGCTTGCATCTTAGCTATGGTGTTACCTTTTACATATATAACAGCTAAGATATACCACTGAAAAAAAAATCATCCATTGGGTAATATTTTCAACAACAGGTCATCTTTATAAATTTACCTTTGATGTAAATGGATTTCAAATTGAAATGGCCAACTGTTGAATTCAGAAAAGCAATTACAAAAGTTTTAGTACTTAATTAATAAGATATGTTTTGTAATTTTTGCTTGCTGTTTTAAAAATATGTATGTTTTACTCTGGGACTATTATACTTAGGAAATTTAAGCATTGAACCTTTGTATTATAATATTATTTGGATCATCTACACAACTTTTGAAACAGTTCCATAGTCATATAGTGTATCGACATCCTTTTTCATGAATGATCTATCAACATGTATTTTCAAAAACTTTCAGACAGTCAGACTTTTGTCTTAAGCCAGACAAAATATATATATTTTTGTTTGTTTTTTTTTGGTAAAACAAGTTTCCATCATATTATATAATCAGCTCTGCTGGGCGATCTGCTTTTACGAGATTGGCGCCCATTAAATTCATCAATGATATATCAAAATTTAAATTTTGGTCTCTGCCGAGGTCTGCTTTTACGAGACCCATTTTGACAAAAAACATCTTTTTTTATCAACCTGTTGGGCGATCTGCTTTTACTCTAGTCCAAATAATTATGACGTCTTTGTAAGGTTATTTAATTTTTTTGCTGTCGTAGGAAGGTGTCACAGCAAAAAAAATTTGATTGGCCTTTCAAGACGTCATAATTATTTGAATTACTTTTATGAGATCAAATACTCCCATAGTATTTTCGTCAATTGTATATGAGGGGTCTGATTCCGCTGCTGAAATTGTTTACCACACGTTGACATAATTGAATTGTTGTTACTAAAATGCGATCGTTGACAGCATTCTTGTACAGATTTTAAAACGCTTTGACAACAAAACTATGAAAAATTATAGTTGCCTAAATCAGCAACAGAAACATTTCCCGAAATATCGATTTTTTTTTTTCCTGAATGGGGAATTTATTTTTGCATACATTTTTTTGGGGTCGCCTGCAAATTTTACAGCCGCTAAGCGGTCCTAAATTATGTAGTAGAATTATCCCTGGTCATTGATAACTTTCTTTGGTTAAGACAATACATATTTCGTCCAGAGCAACGGACATATATGTGATTTCTTTAAGAATATACAAAACACTCACACTTTACACCTGGAAATCTTCTTTTTGACAAATTTAATTACATTTGAAGGGTACTTAAAGTTTAAAAATGTATGATTTTAAAGTTTGAAGCTGGAAGAGGACATATTTGATTGAGTTAAGCTATTTCAGTTGATATTTTATAGTGTGTCTTTCTATGTTGTGATGTTACACTATTGTTTCAGAAAAAGGGTGAAGGTTTGGTACCATTAAAACGTTTAAACCCGCTGCATTTGTTTGCACCTGTCCTAAGTCAGGAATCTGATGTTCAGTAGTTGTCGTTTGTTGATGTGGTTCATAAGTGTTTCTCGTTTCTCGTTTTTTATATAGATTAGACCGTTGGTTTTCCTGTTTGAATGGTTTCACACTAGTAATTTTTGGGGCCCTTTATAGCTTACTGTTCGGTGTGAGCCAGGGCTCCGTGTTGAAGACCGTACTTTGACCTATTATGGTTTACTTTTATAAATTTTGACTTGGATGGAGAGTTGTCTCATTGGCACTCATACCACATCTTCTTATATCTATATATGACGTGATGGTGGTATGTGCAAAAGACAAGATCAAAGATTCACAGAATTAAACACATTGAGAGTGTCCATTATTTATAAGAGAAATATGTTGAACAACTCATTAGAATTGGATATTGCTAAATACCAACTCTCTTTATTTAATTTAAAAAGTAATAATGAACTCGCTAAAGGCTCGTTATTAAACCTATAATTACGTCTATGATTACAAAATCCAAAGAGCATTGATGGTACTTATGATTTGACTGATCAAAATCAAATCAAAAGCTTTATTTAGAGTCACTACCTATATCATGTATATAACAACAATACAACATAATCTCATCAGGTCTCTTAAAACCAACATAGATACTAAACATAAATACAAATTATATATATGCAAGACATATCATGCACAATACAGATATACACACATATGTCCATAGATACATGTCAAACACAAGTCCTTTCATGCATAAATAAAGCACATATATTATATATGTATTAAGCTGAAGCACTAAAACAATATATATATTTTATTCAACGCAATCATAGGTTTGAACGTTGTTTTCAATTTAGACTTGTTTATATTTTTTCGTTTGGGCTTGTATTATATTTGCCTTCGGGTTTATATGATCCGTTCATCCTATTTTGACTCCTCAAAATTCAAGAGTCTATCCTAAATTGAGGTAAATTGTATGGCTTTCCAAATACCGTTTTGATTCCTAACATCACTGAAGAGACATTAATTTTCGAAATCAGGATATGGTGTACAAAAACCATTGCCCCTTTTGTTTGCGGTATATCATCTTTCCCGCAAGTTTATTGTTTTCTGTTTAGTATTAAATTTATAATTAAGATCCACTTATTACATCGGTGATCCGTTTATTTGGCAATCGCCATTGGCAGTCAGCAGGGTTTAAGAACATTTGTTGTTCAACCTGTTAGTCAAATGCGTTTTGTTAAAATATACTTTTTGACTTTTTTGGTCTTTTGGAAAATGTTGTTTGTGCTGTTTTTAGACCCCTCTAACAAGAAATTTGTTTTGCATGCACACATATAAAAATTGCGGTTTTTATCCAACGCAATCATAGGTTTGAACGTTGTTTTCAATTTAAATTTGTATATATATATATATGACCATGGACATGATGGGTGTAATTTTATTTTTACAGGTACTTGAAATGGAGATTGGTAGATCTTTAGCAGAAAGAAAGCTACGAGAGCATAAAGGAGACATTGTAGAAGCTTTAGTGGAATTGACTAACTAATATGTTTATAAGATTCATATAGAAAAACACATTTGTTCTTTAACTGTTTGATGAGCATCTGAAGAACATAACTGGATTCTGCCATGGCTGCAATAGGAATAGCTTCATTAACTAGTGAAATCATGGAGTGACTTTAATTTTTCCATGTTAAAATTTTAGATCAGGCCAGAAAAATTCTACCTGTTTCAGTTCTGTTTTTATACGACCGCAAAAAAATTTTGTGGTCGTATATTGGTATGACGTTGGCGTCGTCGTCGTCGTCGTCGTCCGAATACATATTGGTTTTCGCACTCTAACTTTAGTTTAAGTGAATGGATCTTTTTGAAATTTGACCATAAGGTTAAATACCACAAAAGGAAGGTTGGGATTGATTTTGGGGGTTATGGTACCAACAGTTAAGGAATTAGGGGCCAAAAAGGGGCCAAAAATGAGCATTTTCTAGTTTCCAGACAATAACTGTGGAACGGTGTATGGATCTCTCTGAAATTATACTACAAGTTTCCATACCACAAAGGGATGGTTAGGATTTGCTTTGGGGGGTTATGGCTCAAACCGTTTAGGAATTAGGGGCAAAAAAGGGGGAAAAACAAGGTTGTCCTGGTTAATGGACAAATACTTTAGTACAAAACATAATTTAAAGCAGTGTAAGGGAGATAAATCAAATACATCATTGAAATTATCTCCCTTACACTGCTTTTAAATTATGTATAAAGTAATGGTTAATGAACAATAAAGATAATCTAAAACAGTGTAAGGGAGGTAATCCAAATACAACGTTTTGGTTACTTCCCTTACACTGCTTTTAAATTATGTTTCAAGAAATGCATATTTATAAAGGAAGACCAGTAAAAATATCTGCAAATGTTTTCATCTTTTTTTTTTACAAAAAAATCCATATGAAAGATTTGACACTATATTTTTATTAATTCTATTATGAAATAGATTAAGTTAGCACTATGGTAAATTTAAATGGGTAATTATGGTTGCCAACTCCATTGGAAATTTGAATTGAGATTATGACCATATCTTGAGGGAAAGAATTTTTTTGGGGGAAAAAGGGGGGGGGGGATAAAAAGAAATTGTGGGGGGCCAATTTTTTCTCATTTCAGATTTCAGAAATTAAAAAGAATTATTCTTCAAATATTATTTTTTTTTCAAATTTCAAATATTGAAAAATTTCAAGAAGTAATCTTTAATTGCACAGTATGGCGCATTAGATTTGTAAAATCTTTGATCACATTTATTTATTTGTTATGCCGAATCTAACAGTGTATTTAGATTTTTAATTTTGGGTCCAGTTTTCAAATTGGTCTACATTAATGTCCAAAGGGTCCAAAATTAAACTTTGTTTGATTTTAGCAAAAATTGAATATATGAGGTTCTTTGATATGCTGAATCTAAACATGTATTTAGATTTTTGATTTTTGGCCCAGTTTTCAAGTTGGTCCAAATTGGGGTCCAAAATTAAACTTTGTTTGATTTCAACAAAAATTGAATATATGGGGTTCTTTGATATGCTGAATCTAACCATGTATTTAGATTTTTTATTTGTGGACCCCGTTATCTAATTGGTTCATATTGAGGTCAAAAGGGTCCAAAATTAAACTTTGTTTGATTTCATCTAAAATTGAATTATTGGGGTTCTTTGATATTCCAAATCTAACCGTGTATTTAGGTTTTTAATTTTGGGTCCTGTTTTTTAAATTGGTCTACATTGAGGTCCAAAGGGTCCAAAATTAAACTTAGTTTGATTTTGACAAAAATTGAATTCTTGGGGTTCTTTGATTTGCTGAATCTAAACATGTGTTTATATTTTTGATTATGGGCCCAGTTTTCAAGTTGGTCCAAGATAGGGTCCAGTATTTAAACTTTGTTTGATTTCAACAAAAATTGAATATATGGGGTTCTTTGATATGCTGAATCTAAACATGTATTTAGATTTTTGATTATGGGCCCAGTTTTCAAGTTGGTCCAAATTGGGGTCCAAAATTAAACTTTGTTTGATTTCAACAAAAATTGAATATATGAGGTTCTTTGATATGCTGAATCTAACCATGTATTTAGATTTTTTATTTGTAGGCCCCGCTATCAAATTGGTTCATATTGAGGTCAAAAGGGTCCAAAATTAAACTTTGTTTGATTTCATCGAAAATTGAATTATTGGGGTTCTTTGATATGCCAAATCTAACCGTGTTTTTAGATTTTTAATTTGGGTCCCGTTTTTTAAATTGGTCTTCATTGAGGTCCAAAGGGTCCAAAATTAAACTTAGTTTGATTTTAACAAAAATTGAATTCTTGGGGTTCTTTGATATGCTGAATCTAAACATGTGTTTATATTTTTGATTATGGGCCCAGTTTTCAAGTTGGTCCAAGTTGGGGTCCAAAATTAAACTTTTTTTGATTTCAACAAAAATTGAATATATGGGGTTCTTTGATATGCTGAATCTAACCATGTATTTTGATTTTGGACATTGGACCATAATAGGTAAATTAAAAAAATTCAAGTTCTTAGACCACATTCTTTCTGTGTCAGAAACCTATGCTGTGTCAAATATTTAATAACAATCCAAATTCAGAGCTGTATCAAGCTTGAATGTTGTGTCCATACTTGCCCCAACTGTTCAGGGTTCGACCTCTGCGGTCGTATCAAGCTGCGCCCCAGCGAAGCATTTTATTTATTTTATTATTGAATTTATTTTTTAGCTATGGAATAATGGTATTTGTGCATATATGAACATTTTTGAAAATAGAGATTATTCTGAGATGAACATGAACATTTAATGATTCGTTATAGTTTTTTTGTCCTGCCTGAGACCAAAGTCACAGTATGCGAGATATAGGGTTTACAATCCTTGGCAGCGGCGTTACGTAAACTATTTGTATAAAGCTTTATATTTCAAAAGGCAGAAGACCTGGATGCTTCATTCCTTGTATATAGATGCCTTGTGTTACAAGTTTCAAACTATTATATGACCATTGTCATTGACCACACAACCATGTTCAGTGACTGCTTATAAAAATTATACAGTTTTTTTATCATGTGACTTTCTCACTTATTATGAGTAATATGATAATAATATTTGGTCTATGAAATCCTTGCAAGGTCAACATGTCCATTAGACAGGGTTCACCTGACCTGGGCTTCATTTCATGCATCAGTGATCAAGGTTAAAATTACGTGATTAGGTCCCTTTCTAGCTATATTTGGTGTATGGAATGATTGTAAGGTATTCATATCAGACTGGCAGGTTTCATCTGACCTTGACCTCATTTTCATACTTCATTTGTTGATGTTTAGTTTTTGTGTTTTGGTTTGTTTCACAGATGCTATAAGAAATAGGTCAACATAACTGTTAAAGCTGTTATTCTAATGGTAGCAAGTTAAAGGTTTGGTTGGCTTGCTTGTTTTGTTTGTATAAATGTTTGCTCAAGCATTGTAATTAAGATTGACATCTGCAATCAATAGATAGGCCGGGCTTCAACTTGTATGCATAACTTCCAATAATATTTATAAGTATAATGTATACAGGCTGAAGCCCCGCCTATCTATTGATAACAGATGTCAATCTTAATTTCAATGCTTGAGCAAACATTTATACAAACAAAGTAAGCAAGTCAACCAAACCCTTAACTTGCTAGCATTAGGATAACAGCTTCAATTCAGAAATTATTGCAAGGTTGTTATTAATGTGAATAATTTCTGATACACATATCTGTATGCAGCTTTACAAGAAATCGCAATAGTTAATCTCACATTTTTGATAATTCTTCAAAAATCACAATAATAAATGCACACAATAATTTCTGAATTTACAGTACTGTGGATTCATTATTTTTCGTTGGATACCAATTTTCGTGGATTTCGTGGGTACAGGTGAACCACGAATTTAAATGTTCAACGAATTTTAAATTTACCTTTGGCCTGTATGCAGACTTTGGTAAAACCACGAAATTAAATATCCACGAAAGTGTAAGTTTTTCTGAATCCACGAAAATTGGTACCCACGAAAATAAATGAATCCACAGTATTTGGTTTAAGGAATGGTTGTAAGGTGTAAATGTCTTTCTGAGGGGTATCATCTTATCTTGACCTCATTTTCATGGTTCATTGGTCAATTGTAATTTTTTGTGTTTTGGTCTTTCTCAGATACTATTAACAATGGGTAAACGAACATCTGGTTATGGAATGATTGAAAGGTGGACATGTCTGTCTGGCAGGGAAAAATGATGAAAGAATCATCTTTTATCCAGTCTTTCCCCAGCTAAGCGGACTTGCTTTTTGTAGACATAACAGTTTAAAAGGCTAATTAGAGCAAGGAAATAAATATTATCTAAAACACTCTACAACATGTTTACTCGAGGAGAAAGTATCCTGAAAAATAGGGGGATTCAGTGATTCTGATGAATTAGCATAAAACAAAATTAAACATATTTTTGTATAGACGACAAACGATAGATATGCCATGGACATCAAAATTTTAATCAAGTCTTAACTGATTATTCACTTGCTGTTGTTTTATGTTCTCCTTTAATAGTGAACTGTTAAATCATTTGAAACAGCAGGAAAAAGGAAATCAGTGTTATATGAAAGCTTGATTGTAACAAATTATTAACTCATTGAGTTAAATGTAAATTAACGGACAATTTATACTATAATATAAATGTGTAGTATTTTGCATTCTGTTCCCAGGATATAATTGATATGCGTGACATCACAATTTTTAAGTGCTTTTGTCACATGCCATTAATTCTTATGGTTTATTTTTTTAAAAGATACTCACTGACACTGTGATGAAAATATGAAGGAGTCTCTTTCTGTCACCTTTTAGTTGTTTTCAATGATAACTCACACCTGACTCTGTCACCTTTCAATGTTATTCGGAGATGATTACACACTTTTGACTCTGTCGTCTTTTACTTTTATTCATAGTTAAAAATTTGATTCTTTGTCATGCTAAACAACTAACTTTGATACCCAATACTGTTTTTGATTAAAAATGTGCATGTGAGAAAATCTGTTACGCTATTTTTATACGTCCATTTACAGGAAGTTTTATGGTATACCATTGTCTGTCCGTCTGTTCATTCGTCCTTAACATGTTGGACATTAACAAAAACACTTTAACCAATTTGCATAAAACTTTGGTAAATTGTTTATATCTATTGACGTGACCTGCCTATTGAATTTTCGAGCTTTTAGATTTGTTTCTGAGTTATGGGATTTTATTCATAAAAAAGGGGATATTTTTTCAAGTTTTCAGACAACTCTTAAGTGCTTTTAGCAGTTTTCATGAAACTTTGGTGACTGTTTTATATCTTTAAAATAACTTCCCTCTTAATTCTTTTTTTTTTTATAAATTTCTAATATGACATTGAGGAGTTATGGAACTGTATTCATACAAAAACGTGACATGCATATTATGCATCTATAGCACAGCTCTTTATTATAAATTATTCTCAAAACACTAGACACCTTCCTGATTAATGGATTTTTATACGACCGCAAAAATTTTTTTGGGATCATATAATGGTATGGTGTCGTCGTCGTCGTCCAATAATTTTAGTTTAAGTGAATGGATCTCTATGAAATTGTTTAAGAAGGTTCAATACCATAATAGGGAGGTTGGGTTTGTTTTTTTGGATGATGGTCCCAACCGTTTAGGAATTAAGGGCCCAAAAGGGCCCAAAACAAGCATTTTTCTAGTTTCAGGATAATAACTTGTGTATAAGTATTTTGATTGCTCTGAAATTGTACCACAATGTTTAATACCACAAGTAGAAGGTTGGGATTTATTTTGGGGGTTATGGTGCCATCAGTTTAGGAATTAAGGGCCAAAAAGGGGCCAAAAACAAGCATTATTGTAGTTTCAAGAAAATAACTTGTGTGTGAGTGTATGGATCTCTCTGACATTGTACCACAAAGTTCCATATCACAAAGGGAAGTCTGGGATTGAGTTTGGGGGTAATTGTTCCATACATGCAGGAAATGAGGGGCCAAAAAAGGGCCAAAAACAAGCATTTTTCTAGTTTCCAGACAATAACTTGTGTTTAAGTGAATGGATCTCTCTGAAATTGTACTACAAGGTTCCATACTACAAAGGAAAGGCTGGGATTGAGTTTGGAGGTAATTGCTCCAAGGAGGGATTCAAAAATGGTGGGGGGTTCCAATTTTTTTTTATAAGGGCTTCATATTTTGTTTTCAAAATTTTTGCAAATTTCAAATTTTTGAAAAGTTTCAAGAAGAAAGAAGAAACCTTAAATTTCACAGTATTGCGCAATAGATTTGTAAGATCTTTGTTCACATTTATTTTGTGTAAGAAACCTATATTGTATCAAAAATTTGATCACAATCCAAATTCAGACAGTATCAAGCTTGAATATTGTGTCCAAATTTGCCCCAACTGTTCAGGGTTTCGACCTCTTCGGTCGTATCAGGCTGCGCTCAGCGAAGCATTTTATTGTCTTTGAAGAAAGTTACAGTATTTGAGACGGAGAATTACTATCTGGCGGCAGCTGCAGCGGAGATATAAACTATTTGTATAAAGCTTTATATTTCAGCAGGTTGAAGACCTGGATGCTTCATACCTTGTATGCAGATATTTTATGATACAAATTTTCCGTCTGTCATATGTCCATTGTCTTTGACCTTATTTTCATGGTTCAGCGCCTGCTTAAAAAGAATTATAGTAATTATAGTTTTTTGGAAAATGAATTTCACACTTATGAATATAAGAATAACTGTTTTTGGTATATGGGTTCCTTGCATCGTTTACATGTCCGTCAGACATGACCTCGACTTCATTTCATAGCGCAGCACTTTATTATAAATTTTTCTCAAAGCTCTAGTCGCCTTCCTAATTAATAGATTTTTGTCGAGCCTTCGACTTCAGTCGAAAAAGCGAGACATAGCGATTCTACATTCCGTCGGCGTCGTCGTCGTCGTCGGCGGCGTCCACAAATATTCACTCTGTGGTTAAAGTTTTTGAAATTTTAATAACTTTCTTAAACTATCCTGGATTTCTACCAAACTTGGACAGAAGCTTGTTTATGATCATAAGATAATATCCAGAAGTAAATTTTGTAAAAATAAAATTCCATTTTTTCCGTATTTTACTAATAAATGGACTTAGTTTTTCTGCTGGGAAATATTACATTCACTCTGTGGTTAAAGTTTTTAAAATTTTAATTACTTTCTTAAACTATCCTGGGTTTGTGCCAAACTTGGACAGAAGCTTGTTTATGATCAAAAGCTGGTATCTAGAAGGAAATTTTGTAAAAAAATAAATCCATTTTTTCCGTATTTTACTTTTAAATGGACTTAGATTTTCTGCCAGGAAACAACATATTCACTCTGTGGTTAAAGTTTTTAAAATTTTAATAACTTTCTTTTACTATTTTTGATTTGTACCAAACTTAGACAGAAGCTTGTTTATGATCAAATGCTAGTATCTAGAAGGAAATTTTGTTTTCTTCCAGTTAACATTACATTCAGTCTGCAGTTAAAGTTTTTAAACATTTATTAGATTCATAAACTAACAATCAAAAGATAGTATCAAGAGGAATATTTTTATTGATTTACTTCCTCATTTTTGTTGAGCCTGCGATTAACAGAAAAAGTAGGCGAGACACTGGGTTCTGCGGAACCCTTACGAATTTTTGTCTGTGACGAAAGTTACAGTATTTGAGTTCACATGACCTCCATCTCATTTCATATGATTTCATGGATCAGTGATTAAGGTTAGAATTACGTGATTAGGTCCGTATCTCAGAAACTATAAGTAGTAGGTCAACTTTATGTAGTGTATGAAATGATTTTAATATGTACATGTCAGTCTGGCTGGTTTCATCTGATCTTGACCTCATTTTCATGGTTCTTTGGTTAATACAAAGTTTGTATACGACCGCAAAAATTGCAAACATATAATTGCATGGCGAAGTTGTTGTCGTTTTTCGAAGACAGTTGGTTTCCAGACAATAAAGAGTATAAGTGTATGGATAACTTTGAAATTGTACCATAAAGTTCCATATTTCAAAAAGAAGCTTGGGATTGATTGGGTTATGGCCCAAACTATATGAATCAGGGGCCAAAATGAGACAAAAAAAAAAAGGATTTTCTGGTTTTCGGACAATTACTCGAGTACAAATCTATGGATCTCTATGAAATTATACAAGGTTCTATAACAAAAAAGAAGGTTGGGATTGATTAATGGTTATGGCCCTAACCGATAAGGCATTAGGGGCAAAAAATAATACTTTTTTAAAACTTTGTATAAATTGCTTATTCTTTGATCATTTTCACAGATGAGGACAGATAAGTTCGAAGTCTAGTTTTTGGGGTTCTTTAATGTGCTGAATCCAACGATGTATTTAGATTTAGAATTTTGGAGCCGACTTTAAATTAGTTCAAAGGGTCCAAAATGAAACTTTGATATACAAAAAATTTAATTCTTGGGGTTCATTGATATTCTGAATCTAACCATCAATTTAGATTTTTGGTTTTGGACCCTGTTTACAAATTAGTCCACATTAAGGGTTAAAGGGTCCAAAATAAACTTTAAACTGAGATTTACTATGCGTATTGCTATGTATTTCTTTATTCTACATTGGCTAGAGGTATAGGGGGAGGGTTGAGATCTCACAAAACATGTTTAACCCCGCCGCATTTTTGCACCTGTCCCAAGTCAGGAGCCTCTGGCCTTTGTTAGTCTAGTATTTTTTTTAAATTTTAGTTCATTTACATGTTTTGGAATTTAGTGTGACGTCCATTTTCACTGAACTAGCACACAATTTTATTTAGGGGCCAGCTGAGGACCACCTCCGGGTGCGGGATTTTCTCGCTGCATTGAAGACCCATTGGTGGCCTTCGGCTGTTGTCTGCTCTTTGGTCGGGTTGTTGTCTCTTTGACTTATTCCTCATTTCCATTCTCAATTTTATTTAGGATGATTTTAACGAAAATTGAATGTTTTGGTGTTCTTTGAAATGATGTGAATTTAAACATGTATTTATATTTTTGTTTTTGGGCCCAGTTTTTAAGTTGGTCCAAATGGGGGTTCAAATCAACAAAAAATGAAATTATGGCTTAAATAATAAGACTATGAACTAACATGCAGCCTATGTATATACTTTGTGATTGCAACTTCAACAAAAGCATAATGGAAAAAACACAAGCAAAAACAAGTTCAACACAGCAATATACTTACTGACAAGCAAGTCCTACAAAAGATTGAACATTTTAATATGTTAAAGTTGTATGAAAATTTTTTCAGTCATAGAAACAAAAAAAGAAAAGCACAAGATTGCATCAGCATGTACTTACAATTTCTGTAGTCGCAGTAATACATGTACTTGTATCATCTGACGCAACTAATTGTTTTGCACGTATTCCACACATACTTTGAGTTAAGTCGTGTTTCTAGGACCAGGACTATGCCTCTTACTTTTATTCTGGTTTGTAATTTCTCGTCATTTCTTATTTTATAACTTTTGCCAGATCGTTTCTTGCCTCTTTCATTATAACGGGTAAATCATCTACTACTCTGATTTTTTTATTCGCAACTTTGTATGCATTTTTCATTATTAATTGTTTGTCTGAGTAGTGCATAAATCTGACAATTTTAGCATCTAGTCTTTTTTGGCCAACAACTGGGGCTCTTGATGGGATCCTGTGGGCATTTGCAATGGGAAAACTTTCTGCTTTAAACTTTTCTATCCCCAGCTCCTTCACAAAGAAATTGTCTACTACTTCCCATATGTCCTCATTTTGTTTTTGTTTCATACCGTTAATGAGAATATTGTATTTACGCTCATGTTTCTCTAGAAAAAGTTGATTTTCTTTCAATGCGAAAAGTTTGTCGTCAATGCTTTTTTTCAGAGATCCCATTTGTTTGCCCATTTCTAGAGTATTGAGTTGTGACTCTATGTGCCCTATACCTCTCTCTAGCTCGTTGTGATCTAGTCCAATACATGGACCATTTGACTTTCTGGGGGGGGGGGGGGCTGTTTTTTTTTTAAATAATCGCCCTTTTTTGACCCCAAAATCTAGCCTTTTCAGTTGCTAAAAAAAATATTCTGGCTTAATCTTCAGCAAGTGTGACATGTATGATGTTGAAAAAAATATTCTTGCTCGGTTTGCATGATAAAAAAAAATCTGGCTTGATATAAAAACTCAGCCCCCATCCCCCCACCGAAAATCAAATGGTCCATGTCTAAGCTTTTCCACCTCAGTTTGTGTAGTACTAAGATCTGACTTTACTTGCACAACTTCTGACCTGACCTCAGTAATTAGATGCGTTAAATTTTTTTCAACAGAGTCTCGCCTTGATGTTAAGAGTGTTACCTTTGAATCGATACCCATGATAACAGACTTAAGATCGGCAATAGCTTCTAAAGTCCCGATATTATCGAGGACTGACAAGTCCCGATGTAAACAATCACTATTCTCACATCTCACGTTGATCATGAAAGCTGAAAATAACCGTGTATTCACATTTTTGAATTTGTCTACATTGGAGTTCATGCGATTCTCTAAGTTTTCATTCGTTTACCTCTGAATTGATTTATAAATGTGAACATCGGTTAACTTCTCTTGTTTCGAATTTAATGCACTATTATATTTTCTGCAAGTTCAGACACTGTCATTCTTATAATTGGCATTTGAATGGATTGTACATCCAGAGAATAAATTTAGTTGCTACCAACAACCTCTTTTTGTCAAATAAAGGTCTGTGAATGAACATGACAACCAACAAAAATAAATTCTTCAAGTAAAAGTGTTTGCATGTCTCCATGTTATGGGTTCGTCTACAACTTCATTAATTACTTTATCAGTTTAATATTCGTCTTAAATATACTATAGGCTAACATAATCTTAGTTAATCGATTAATTGCTTTAAATCTGACTAAACGGACTTCATATAAAGGAGTAAACTGCTCCGACAGAGTTATGAGGAGGAAAAATTAAAAATGACTCTTCGTAAATTTTATGGAGACCATCACGAATTGGTTGATCTATACGATGTGTCTGTGTCTAAACTATTAACTAACGACATTTCTTACCACGTCTTAGATTGTGGTTTAACATCTATGTCGTCTGTCCGCTAAGTACCGAACGTGACCTATTCCCGAATATGACTGTTTTGCCGAGCGTGAATTTGCTTTGCTATACGACG